ACACACACACACACACACACACACACACACACACACACACACACACACACACACACACACACACACACACACACACACACACACACACGGTCGGGCAGGGTGACACAGTGCATGTCGGCAGTGTTAATGTATTCATGTGACTTCTGTCTGTGTGTAAATCCAGATTTGCACTCTGTCAGTCCCCGCTGACACAAACAGACTTTATTCAGAAAATACGTCAAGTTTAGTAACAAGTTACAAAGAAAAACACAAAGGTTTTATTTTAGCGGTTCGTCCACTTCCTGTTTTCAGTGTACTTGCTGGATGTTCCTTGTTCTGTATGTTGAGTAAACTTTGGTGCTAACACTTTAGCATTCAGCATGACGAGTGATAATCATGTCGCAGCACTGGTAACACTGACATTATGACATGTTCATCAGGACCACGGTGACACTTTCTGATTTAATTTCATGTCTGGTTGGAGACGTGAGGCCTCGCTCAATACAGAGTGGGTGACACCAATATCTGACTTCATTAAGACTTGGCTAGGTTTGAGGCTCTTTCGTCTCTGTCCACCACGAATGGCTTCTCCAAAAGCTTTTAAAATCAGTATTAATATAATTACACAATTAAAATCAGAACAATAATTGTCTATTTCTTGGTTTCTCTACGTAATAATGTGTCTTGCTAACACATTGGCAAACCTTATTTTGAATGATCGTACATATTTTAACTTTTTGTCACAGTGGATTACCTATATCCAAAGTTATCAATACATACATTTTACTCAAGTACAAGATCTGAGTACTTCTACTTTTACTCAAGTACAAGATCAGAGTACTTCTACTTTTACTCAAGTACAAGATCAGAGTACTTCTACTTTTACTCAAGTACAAGATCTGAGTACTTCTACTTTTACTCAGTAATTCTACTTTTACTCAAGTACAAGATCTGAGTACTTCTACTTTTACTCAAGTACAAGCTCTGAGTACTTCTACTTTTACTCAAGTACAAGAGCTGAGTACTTCTACTTTTACTCAAGTACAAGATCAGAGTACTTCTACTTTTACTCAAGTACAAGATCAGAGTACTTCTACTTTTACTCAAGTACAAGATCAGAGTACTTCTACTTTTACTTAAGTACAAGATCTGAGTACTTCTACTTTTACTCAAGTACAAGATCTGAGTACTTCTACTTTTACTCAAGTACAAGCTCTGAATACTCCTTCCACCTCTAATAAAGTGTTTCTAACTATCTGCCTGATGTCTCCCTCGCAGCGTTCCTCCGCCGGCTCGTCCCTCCTCTCGGTCCGATGCCCAACGAGGATCTGGACACCACAGATCTGGAGTCTCTAGAGAAATACCGCAGCTACACCCGGTACCTGAGGAAAGCCGAGGAGGCGAGGAACAAACCGGCCTGGTGGAAAACATACCGGAGCTACGTGGAGAAACAGGATCCAGAGCACGGTGAGAAGTGATTCAACATGCAAGGCTTTAATTGTCATGTGTATTGATCCAGTTGTCTTGTGTCTTCTCTCTCGGGGAGAAATCATTATTATATTTTATTTGTATTATCATACCTTTTACCTCCTTGTGTCTCTTAACCTGATGACATGTTATATTTTGCTGCGTCTACCTTTTAAAGTTCTTAACAAATAATCTGAAGGGAATTTCTTGTTGCTTATTTTTAACTTGTGATGTGTCGCCATTTTGTAAAGCACTTTGAGCTTAAATATAATAAATAAATAAAGCTGTATTATTATTATTATACAAATAACGTTTGATTTGATTCTCTCTGACATCCCTGCTGTTCTTCTGTGTTTCAGATGCAGAGAAAGTGGACATCGGGCTGCCGTATCTACGCCCGAGTCGACTGAAGGAAGTGAAGGAGAGGACGCAGATGGTGAAGGAGAACAAGAAGAACGCTGAGCTGGAGAGGGCGTCTCGTCTGAGGACGCGTAAGCTCTCAGATAAAAACATTTTTATTAATAATTAGGTGGAAATGAAAAACGGAGTACAACCACCAGACTCAGAGAGACACAAAGATGTTTCTGTGAAGGACATTTGTATTGTCCTTTCACCTGCTCTCTCTCTCCGTCCCCTCAGTGAAAGTGTCTCTGGATCGAGTTCAGGACGAGTGGGGGAAGAGCTCCGGTCCGTTTCACATCCAGAGACTCGCCGAGCACTACGGCGTCTTCAGAGATCTCTTCCCAAACGCCCTCTTTCTACCTCAGGTTCTGATGCAGATCAACTACAGCCAGGACAACGGAGGACAGGTGCATTATGGGAACCGGCTGACACCAACAGAAGTAGGTAAAAGGATATTATTGCGGCTGTAGTAATCCAATATTAGTGCCGCGAGGGACTAAACAAGAGAACAACATTGTCTGACGTGCAAGAAAAGTCTTTCCACTTGTATGCGCTAGATCTTTTATTTGCAAACGAAACAGGAAGTAGTTTCTAGTCCATATTTAGTATGTCAGTGGTTCCCAAACGTTTTCAGTCGGGCCCCCCCAACCCGGTTCCCATCTATATTGGTAGGATTAATTGTATATTGCTGTAAAAACATAACATTTTCTCTGCTAATAATAAGAAGATACAAAGATCCAACTATCCTTTTATATTTTATTATGGATTACACATGGACTAGTGCTTGTAATAGATACTGTGAATTCATTTGGCCTAATTCAAACCACTAGGCCTTCTTCCCTGAGTAGTAGATGTTTGAATTCAAATGTATTTTGTTTTGAGACTGCCACTCTCAGTTCATTCTCAATGTTCAGCTTTGATCTGTATTTCGTTTTGATGGCAGCATCTCACACAAACAGGATGTTGCAAAAGGCAGCAGTATGCCCACAGCTCTGGCCAATGAGATATTTCCGAGCAGTGTTTGTTTACAATTTCTTCCCGCGCCCCCCCTGCAGTACCGGTCGCGCCCCACAGTTTGGAAACCCCTGCAGTATGTGATTGTGCATGCGGTCAACAAAAATGGTCCTTCCCCTGCTCACTCCCCCTCCATCTATGACCAAGTGCGCAGATATAACCGCAAACGTCACCACACAAATCCAACGACACGCCCACCTCCTATAGTGACTCAAAAGATGTGATGTTACAAATACAGACAATGCTTTACATGTGGCTCCTACAGATACAAGAATAAAGCTGTATTTGTAAAGCACTTCACCAGGTGCCGCTCAAAGTGCTTTAACTTCCTCTCTTTTATTAGTTCTGCTTCTTTTAAAGTGTGTTTTTCTGAATGGAGATTGGTTTGATTGAAGCTAGGCTGAGTTAACATTAAAGCTGCTCCTTTAACACTCAAAATAAAAGAATCTCATAGATAAAGCTGTGTCTTCAGGGTTAGTACCAAGGACAGGCTATGGTTTGTAAACATGCATATAAACATTGTTTTCATCTGGTCTTTGAACGCACCATATCGCTCCATCCCTGCGTTTTATTAGATTACACGGAAAACACTTTCTTCCATTAAAAGAACATCGCCCGCATCAGACCCTCCCTCTCATCGACCGCTGCTGAAACTCTGATCCATGCCTTCATAACATCCTGACTGGATTACTGCAGCAGCATCCTGCATTCACACTAAAAAAACTTCAATATGTCCAAAACTCAGCTGCCCGCTTGCTCACCTCCACCCCACGCTCCGACCACATCACCCCTATCCTCCATGACCTCCACTGGCTCCCCATCAAACACCGCATTGACTTTCAAATATTACTTTTCACTTTCAAAGCCCTCAACAACCTTGCCCCCCCCCTACCTCTGTGACCTCATCCAACGACACACCCCCACCCGTCGCCTCAGGTCTGCTGAAGCTAACCTACTGCAGCCCATCAGGACAAAGCTCCGGACCTGGGTTGACAGGGCCTTCGCAGCAGCCCCCCCCCCTCACTCTGGAACTCCCTCCCCAGCCACGTCAGATCCGCCATCACTCTCACATCATTCAAACAATCCCTCAAAACTCACCTTTTCACTCTTGCCTTCAACTCCTAATCAACTAACCACTTGCCCTTATTCCTC